TAATTTAATTTAAAGGGGCTAGAGGGTTGGCTCAGTGGTTAGAAGTGTGTACTATTCTTCCAAAGGACCCAAGTTTGGTTCCCAGTACCTACATTAGATAGTTTACAACTGCAGTAACTGCAGCTCCTGGGAACCCCAAACTCTCCTGGCTTCAGGCAGCTGTACTCACAAGCACACACCTGAAAGGTTCAGGCATTAATGCTGACCTGCTCGTACCTCTTTAAGAGACAGACCCTGCCCCCTGACAAAGGGTAGGACAGACACAGTGATGTGCCATGTCTTCGCCACATCACTCATTATGTATTATGGACCTGTGTGAGGACTTTGCACGAGCACGAAGCCTCAGTGCACATGCTCGGCTTTCCCTTTAAAGCTCCGTACCTCTCTCCTTCCTCTGTTTCCAGTGGTCGCCCACGAACTCTCTCCTCTCTTCTCTCTCTCTCTACTTTCTCTTACCTCCTCCCTGCTCTCTGCTCTCTGCTCTCTCTCTCTCTCTTCTTCTTCTTCTTCTTCTTCTTCTTCTTCTTCTTCTTCTTCTTCTTCTTCTTCTTCTTCTGCATCTCTCTTGTCTCTCCCACGCCCGCTCTCCCTCCCCCATCCATAATAAACTATGGTTAATGTATCTCTCGTTCTCATGTCTCATCTTGTGCCCCCTTTTATATTTTTAAACTTAAACAAGATAATAACACCAACACAAAATTTAACAATAAAATAAATCTAACAAAAATTAAAATATGAAGTAATTTAAGAACTAACTTCTTGTTGGAAGAATAACCAGAGGGCAGGTACGTCAGCACTGTCCAACAGAACCCAGTGGTATCAGAGACCCTCAGCCCATACTCAGAGCCATTGGCCTAGTCACTACATGTAAGCAGTATACTATCCTAGAAAATGGAAGCCTGAAAAATATATTCTGGGGACATATTTATAATAGTGCTACTGGGTTCATCTTGAGTTTGTAATTCTTCAGTGTTGTGTCCCTGACCCCCTACCCACCCACCCACCATACCCCAAGGGTTTTGGTGTTAAAGACTTAGTTGCAAGCTGATGGCTGTACTGATAAGTGACTGGACCATAAGGATGCTAGATTTCATCAGAGGACTAAGCCATGTATCAGTTCATATTGATTGGGCTGTTAATGAAGAAGTGGTTAGTTGGTGATGTACCCCTTTGATTATTGAGGTCTCATTACATGTCTCAGGCTAGCCTTGAAGTCAGATGTGCTGAGATTTGTTGTAGAAATTTTAACATGTGTTACATTTGTTTATGCTATGGAACATTTGTTTAATGATGTAAAGATGTACTGTATTCTTTTATGTTGCATTTGTTTAACTCTGTGAAGCTGTGATTCTTTGCCTGTCTAAAACACCTGATGGTCTAATAAAGAGCTGAATGGCCCATATCAAGGCAGGAGCAAAGATAAGTGGGGCTGGCAGGCAGAGAGAATAAACAGGAGGAGAAAAGTAGAGGCAAGAGGATCTGGGGGCAAGAGAAAGGAGGACTCGAAGAGCCAGACACCATCCAACACAGCCAGCCACCACAGAGTCTGAAGGAAAGAAAAGATATTAATCGAGGAAGGTAAAAGCTAGAGGCAAAAGAGAAATGGGCTAATTTAAGAAAAGCTGGCCAGAAACTGGTCAAGCTAAGGCCGGGCATTTATACATAAGAATGAGATGCCATGTGATTTATTTGGGAGCTAGATGGAGGCCCCCAAAGAGTAAAGAACAACAACAGAGATTACTGGGACATGATGCCTTGAAGGACATATCTTGTCCTCAAAGCTTCTCCCTATCTGCTTCTTGACTGCCACAGGATGAACAGCGTTGTCCCTCTCGTTCATACTGCAATTGCAGTGTTCTCTCACCACAGTCCCATAGTGATGAAAGCAGTCCATGGGGCCCTGGGCTGACTCCCCTGAAACTGTAAACCAAATAGTTATTTCTCCTTTGATTTGCTTCAAAATTCTGTCACAGTGATTAAAGTAGAGTAACCAAAGAGACTTTCAATCTTGGCATGACACTTCTGTGGTACTCTTGGCTCCTGTCAGAAAGCTCTACTATAGTTCATTGTCAAGGAGTTCCTATGTGGGTTTCCCCTATCTATGGTCCTATGCTGCTCTGTGTTCAGCTGATTGAAGCAGCCACTTTTCTCAGTGTTTTTCAAATATCAATTCAGGTCACCAGGCCCTGTAAAAATCCCTATAGGCCGAACTATTCTCACTGCACTGGGTCAGCTTGGACTGGTGACTAATTCCACCTGTCTCCCGTTAACTGCTGCAAAATGCCAACATGGAGTCATTTGAAAAGATGTTTGTTTTTTGTGTGTGTGTGTGAGTGTGTGTGTGTGTGTGTGTGTGTGTGTGTGTGTGTGTGTGTGTGTGTGTGTGTGTTTTGTCTTGGCAGTATTGGCAGGGTAATGCATCCAGGACTCTCTACATGCTAGACTAGCACTCAAGTTACAACCCCAACCCCCGTTTGGTCAATTTCTAATGATCAGTCTTTAACGTTATTGATCTTTCTTCTATTAATTGATGTTAAGCCTCCAATGAATTTTTAGTTATTTCTTTGTAAAATGACACTTGCATTACTTTTCTAAAAATTTCACAGGAAATATTTTTTTCACATTCACCCTCCTCCCCCAACTCCTCCAGATTTACCATCCCCACCCACCCACCTATCCAACTTGGTTTATTCTCTCTCCCTAAACCTACTGAGTCCAATTTGTGTCTGCTCTGGAGAGTGGTCGACCTATGGGGTCACCCCATTAAAGAACACATACTCTCCCTCTCCCAGCAGCTATCAAATGTCAACAGGTTCTTCACTGGGGTGACGCTCCGTGACCATTCAAGCTGGGGTTTTGTCTGGCTTGAGCCATTCAGTTCTTTATACTCTGTGTTGATGATAAAATCTGTTTTTGTCTTTCTCCTGAATTTTAGTCACATTATTATAATAGTTATTTCTGAAGCCTATGTGTGAACACAAGACAGAGCTGACACTCTGTGTCATTTCCCCTCCTTACTTGCTTTTCTCTGTATGTTTCCTTTGTAATTATACACTTTACATATTTTTCAAGGAGAATGGAGTATTTTTTTCTTCTACACATGAGAACTTCGTGTCATTTCTTATGGAGTTGGGTTGAGAGGCTGTGAAATTTAAGTAGGATTTACACTGGGTCAGGTTTGGGTTACAGCTTTAGCTAGTTCAGGCACTGCTAGTCCAGGGTTTATCTTGTGTGTGACTGAAAAGGCCTTCTTTTTCCCACATATATTAGAATGCATTTACTCACTTCCTCAGAAACATAAAAACTGTTTGTGGCAAAGTTAATGCTACATGTTCACCTATCTGCTGCTTCCTGCAGCCCTGGGCCCAAAAAAGGACAGCATGCTTCTGTGCTGAGTGACAGCACAAGGAAGGGAGAAGGCCCCGCATTAATGTCCCATGCTTTCTTGTCCTTTAGATGACTCTGGAAGCTGCAAGGTAAAGATGGTAGCACTACAAAATGAAATGGCTCTCTCTCCTGACAGCTCTGAGCGTAAGCTAGCAGAAGGCTTTTATAGTGTGAGTCTTGCAATTAGCATAGCCTCACCCACATAGGATTGCCCAAAGTGTATGGATTGTTTCTGGGGGGAAATAACTTAGTGTTAAGGCACCCCAAAGAAGACTATCGTCTCATGCTGGGTGTGATGGCACACACTGGTAATCCAGCACTTGGGTGGCTGACACAGCAGGCAGGAGGTGTGGAGTAAAAGGCCAGGCTAGCCTGTGGCTGGTCTGAACTGACTGATCCAGGTAAAGTAATACTGCCTTTGAAACATTTGGTATCAATCCAACAAAACACCTCAATAATTTTTATATTAATCATATTTTGAGCTGGACGTTGGTGGCACACGCCTTTAATCCCAGCACTCGGGAGGCAGAGGCAGGCAGATCTCTGTGAGTTGAGGCCTGCCTGGTCTCCAGAGCGAGTGTGGTTATAGGATAGGCTCCAAAGCTACACAGAGAAACCCTGTCTTGAAAAACCAAAAAATAAATAAATAAATAAATAAATAAATAAAATTCTATTTTGAAATAATAGTTTAGGTATACTGATTTAATATTATTAACATGGATTCCAGCTTTTTTTATGAAGCTTCTATAAAACTTAAGCATATACTTGTGACAATGCTGTGCTGGACGGCAGTAGACTAGTGAAAAGAGAGAGAAAACATAAAGACAGGCACATGTGGACTCAGACTGTGGGATTGGCAAGTGGCTTACACCATCAACCTCATGAGGAAGCCACCGGGATACCATGGATGAGATGATATACTGCAATGCTTGACGTGTGGGGGGTAACCATCTAATACCTGCTTCCCCATCTTCCCTAAGAACAGGGAGAGGTCACTCACAGTAGCCAGGACAAATATTTATGGACATATTAAATGAGGTCCACACAGGAATAAGCAGTTCTTAGAATATTTTAAAACTTCATAATACCTTGGAATTGTAGATATGGATCAGAGGTTACAAGCACCTGCTGCACTTCCAGAGACTCCAGTTCAATTCCCAGCCCCACATGGGGGCAGGTTTCACAATCTCTGTAACTCTAGCTCCAGGGAATCTGACACCCTCTTCTGGCCTTCCTAGGCACCAGAGAAAATAAGGGCAAACGGCAAAAGCTCATGTGCGCGCGCACACACACACACACACACACACACACACACACACACACACACAAATAAAATAAAAATTAAATATTTTTAAAATGCATAATAAACCAAGCAGTGGTAGTGCATGCCTTTAATCCTATCACTCAGGAGGCAGAGGCAAGCATAACTCTGTGAGCTCCAGGCCAGCCTGGTCTTCAGATTGAGTTCCAGGACAGCCAGCTCTACACACGGAGAAACCTGTCTCAAAAAAAAAGGAATCATAATAACTTTTCATATCATCTCTTAAGACCCAGCATTATCACTGTGAAGGGCAGAAATATCTGAAGAAAAATGACAATTATTTACAATGTTATTCATGTTTTCTATGCTTTAATAAATCTTTTGCATAGGTAAATACATTCAGTTAAAACTATTTGACAACATGGAAACAGACAAGAAATAGATAGGAATTCTGAATCTTTCCCAAAAACTACATGGAGGAAGCAAAAGTTGCCATTAGACAGTCTCCACTCCTTTACCTTGCACTTGGAAGAACCTGTGTAGCCTTCATCTTGATCAAGGAGATCACTTTATAATGCCATCTTGAGCAGCATACAGGCATTAAAGCATCACTTTAAAATCACAAGTATCTCTGGATATACAGAATATTCTCCAACCTGAGTTTAGGATTGACAGTGGATTCTATTAATTCCACCATCAACTTGTCCAGAAAATTAGTACAACCTGGGAAAATGGTCATTCTTCCTCATAGAATGGTTTTGGAAATTAGCGTATTTTAGTATCTGATGGAAGGCTAGACATCGGAGATATTGTCATTCATGCTGCGAGTTCTCAGTCACCTGAGCTAACCACAGGGCCATCAGGGCAGGTGACTCTCATGGACCCCTAGCTTTTCTGGGAACCACAGTCTTTCTTCTGACACCCTTATCCTGGAGGGGGACTCCTCGGGAGCCCTTGGCAAGGACCTTCCTGGCGGCCTTTCTTACTTCCCCGGGCCTCGCTAACAGAAGTCTCTCAGCAGGGCCAGGAGCTGGGGAAAGCATTTGGTCGTAGATGAGGAAAAGAGCTTTTGCAGAGTGTGGGACTCAAAATCAGAGCAAAAAGAGCTCTACTCTCTGAGATGTAACAGTGACAAAAGAATATTAGGATCTAAGGCTGCACAGGTATTGTAAACAGCAGTTAGCTTTCTTCCAGCTGTTGAAGAGTTCAGTTATGCAAAAAGAACAGGGCTAACGGAGGCCTGGAGAAGAATTTTCTCTAGGCAGCCAAGTAGTGTTTCTGTTTAGTAAAAGTTCAGCTATGCCTAAGTTTGTGTTTATCTTTACTTTTTAAAAGATTTTAGCAAAATGGTCAAGAAAGAACTGTAGACATTAACAAGATGAAGTTACACTACATTAATTTATTATAGTTTGGATCTTCCATTAGCTTCCTACATTATCAGTGATAAGTTTCTCAGTAGCACGTACAACAGCTTTTCAATAGAATTTGTAAAGAGAATAATGAAAACAGAAAACATAAATAACCAGAGTAAGTGAAACAAAACCGTCAAGTGTGAGGCTTACTCTAATATACTTTCAAGGATTTGATTGTTAAACTAAAGTCACCTTATTCTAAGTATACTATTAATCAACATAAAAGATTCCAACCCTTAGAAATTACAAAAACTTCAAGATCTTATTAGTAAAATTAAAAATTCTAGCTGTTGTGTTTACTGACTGACTTTGGTCTGCACTTTTTGGGCTTCTTCCGGCCAAGAATAGCAATCAGGTAAGATCTGGTCATAATTTGTGCTGTACATCTGGGAGCAGACAAATTCTTCTTTGTTTGGGGGCTCAGGGTAAACAGTGGCCATCTTTTCTCTGTATGCATCTGTCACAATCTAGAAACAAGGAAGGTAAGTCATTATTTTAATAGTGAGAAGGTGATATTGAACACAAATCAAGTTTTTATCCATTTCAAAAATGTATAATCTGTACTATAGTAAAAGCCACATGCAAAACAAAAATGAAAAATGAAAATGCAACTATAAATCAAATGTAGCAAGGGGTAAATGACACTAGCAACCAGGGAACACCTCACTAGTAGAGATTGAAGTGTGAACAGTCATTTTTCTCAGGCAGACTTGACTGTCTTGCTGCTGGTTAACTTGGACTGAATGCCCGAGTCTCTGCTGATCTCTCTTCCATCTCTGGACACAAAAAGAAAGCATCTCCCACTTCACATCCCTTTGTACACTACTCTCTCAGCAACTGCAACCATGTACCACATACAGAGGACAACTAGGACAACTAATCTATCTAGTCACTCCTTGTTGCTGTCATCTCCATCCCCATGACAGAATTAGACATCTGGATTTGCCCGGGGACCTCAAACCTGCAGCCCCTTACGGTAGCTTCCTTCCTGAAACTGGCTCTTCACTCAGAGTCCTCAGTTTCTGTTTAGGCAATGGCACAGTGTTCTAAGTGGTACAGATTCGGGCATCCATGCCATTTCTATTTCCTCGACTGCCCCTGTGTGCTTATTTTCTAATTGTGTGCTAATTCATTTTCATTTAAATTATCAAAATAGCCTAAAATGATAACATGCTGTACAGTACATAAATAATAAAAACTAAAAGCTTGGGACTGGAGAGGTGGCTCAGAGGTTAAGAGCATTGGCTGCTCTTCCAGAGGTCCTGATTTCAATTCCCAGCAACCACATGGTGGCTCACAACCATCTGTAATGGCATCTGGCTCACTCTTCTGGCCTACAGGCATACATATAGGCAGAACAATGTATACAAAATAAATAAATAAATCTTCTTTATAAAAAAAACTAAAAACTCATCAAGATCAAGCAAAATGGGTCTGTTTTTTTTCCATAAAAGACAGACATACTATTGAAGTTGTTTGAAGTGCTGACTTTGTAGAATATATCTTCAATCAACAAGATAAATAACAATGGGTGAATCTAAAACATTGCTATTTAGATAAACTTGGAATCGTGTAAACTACTGAAGTTCAAACCAGGCAGTTTGGTATGCAAGAAGACCTAACAACGAAGTCTGGCTACCTCTTTTGACTGTTGAAACTGTGCAGGTGCTACTGCCCCCAAGTGGCCAGAGGCTAAAAATGCCAACCAACCCCAGTTTAAGGAAGACTGTTAGGGGTCAGGTTTTCGTTCCCCCATGTATAAGCTTATATGCTGGTGCCTTCACCAGGAGTACTTCCAAAGTTAAAACATCGCTTTTAGCATGACCCTAACCCACTTCACCTCTGTTCCTAAAAGAAAGAAAAGTGGACAGCAAAACACCAAAGAAGAGAATATACAGAGAAAAGACTCCAAGGACACAGACTGAGAAGAAGCCAAAATTAATGATATCTAGCCTCCACACAAGATAGATAGGCAGATGGGCAGATAGACAGAGAGACAGATAATTTTTTCTAAAAAATTGCTTAGTTTAAGCCAACCAGAATGTGGCACTTTCATGGCACAGCATGAAACAAGAAGGTGAAAAGAAACACAACACACCTGAATGAAGACATGTTAGAAGATGTGAGGTTAATGATCCTTTACTGAGGCAAGGGTTCACTACTTACCCCAGGAGCCCTTCCTTGCTGCAGCTACTTACAGATCCATGCCAGGCTGCCTACTCTCTGAGTTCTGACTCAGAAAGTGGAACCTTTTTCTCTCTCTCTCTCTCTCTCTCTCTCTCTCTCTGTCTGTCTCTCTCTGCCTTCCTCTTTCTCTCCCCCTCTCTCTTCTCTTCTCCACACACACCATGTAATCATCCATCAATGCACATGGCTGGCGTGCCTGCTTTCTCGACTCCCAGATCAGAAGACATAGTTTCCTGTCACCCAGCACCACCTCCCAGTAGCCACTAAGATCCCCAGCTTGTCCTCAAACCCCCAATGAAGTTGCCCTTGAGTTCCCTTTTGATTCAGAGTTTGAATTCTTCTATCTACAGGAATAATAGCTTGCCAAAGGGGTCCTGTGTCCCATGACACTGTCACCTGTGTCCTCAGTGGTTCTCAACAAGTGGCTCTCACACCCTTTGGGGTTTGAAAGAGTACCATCAGAACAAAAATAACTTTATGGTTGGGGGTCACCACAACATGAGGAACTGTGTTAAAGGGTCACAGCATTAAGAAGGGTGAGAACCATTGTTCTAAGTCACAGACAGGGAGTGGCAGGAGGCTCCAGGTATAAATGTCCTTCTAGTTAGTCTGTGGGAACTATATAAACAACTACATAGAACAACTACACTGAGGTGAATTGGGAGAAGCCTGACTAAACGGAATGAAATATAAGGAGAAAAATGGATGGAAAAATCTACAACTAGCCCCTGTGTTTCCATCCATCTCTGAGGTCAGCGCTCCCCGTCACCATGTCTCATTTCCTCGAGTCCTAGAAAATGAACATACATGCCAAGCAAGCATGTAAAATAGTAACAATACTATTTAGCAAGGGAAGGAAGGAAAAATAATGAGGCTGTGTGGTTTTTTTTTACCTGTACTGCAATTTTCAATGAAACATCTCGAATTGTATTCAAAGGAGGATAGAGTCGGCCCTCTTCTAGGTGCTTATCTGACACTTGCTGAGATATGACCTTTAAAAGAGAAAAGGTTAAAAATATTTATACATCGCATGATTCAGTGTGGTAAATACACAGATAACTAAGGGAATGGCCATGCCTGGAAACTATCCCATGAACATGACTGTCTAACATGCCCCTTCCTTATTGACAGAAAAGCTAGGCCATGGCAACTGCTGAGATCACACCAAGAGTCAAACAGAGGAGCAAATGCACGTTTCCTTTTGGTTCCATTCCTTCACACTAACAAAGGATTAAATATTTCCGAGAGGAACAGGAGAAAAGAAAATGGGGATGAAGTAGTCATGGGAGAGGACCCCCAAAACAGAGGAGGGCAGTGATCTCAGACACTCCCCACTCAAAATCCACAGGGGAGTACTGCAGGGGGCTAGGAACGCTGGCTCATTTCCACTCCCAGGAGGACTTAAACCAGACCCTTGGTTATCAGCTTACCTAAGCAACCTCTCCATTTCTCTCCCCAAGCCACTCCCTAGCTCCAGACAGAGTTCAACAATGAAGTCACTGTGCAAGGTGGGTCTAGGTCAGCTCATGGCTGGGCCTTGAACAGAAATGCTGGGGCAGAGTTGAGACGGAAAACCTTCACTGGCAACATTCTGAGCAATCAAATAGCGAGTCAGTGTCTCACTGTTTGTCTGTCTCTGGATCAAACCCGGGTGTTGAGCATACTAGGCAGGTACTCTACTCTGAGCTGTCAGAATCTTAAATATTCTTTAATTTTACTTAATTACTTATCCAGATAACTATTACAAACTTGGGGAAAAGCCAGGAATCAGAGAAAAATGTGGGTGTCTTTTTTTTTTTTTAATGTGGGTGTCTTAATCCGTATGCTGTGACTCTGGGATGGAGAAGCCTTCATCCTATAACCCCAGGTCACTCCTTTTGAGATGGGTCCTCACTATGTAGCTCTGGCTGGTCTGCAACTGGAAAGGTAGACCCAGGCTGATCTTGAACTCATGGAGATCCGCCTGCCTCTGGCCTCTGCCTCTACCGAGTTATTTCAAAGACATGTTTTGGTTCCCTCAGCACACCAATGGGGCTGTGCACGGGCATGGGTTCACCTACAGAAGCCTCCGAGGCAGTGAGGTAATGCATAAAACAAAAGGCAATACTGGAGGAGACAGCCTGGACTGCAGAAGTAAGAGGCTCACTGGTAAGGCCAGTAAGGTGGGCTTGACTGAGGGACTGAGAAGAAACTAGGAGCCACACACACGGGGCAGGTGCTGCAGACAGCATGGAGGCCCCCATGTGTGAAGAAGATGCTGAGACAGCTGCCCTGAAACTGGCAGGTGGAGAGCCTCTGCAGAGAAGAGAAATGGAATACACTGGCACTGGGTGGCTGAGAACTTTTGACAAGGGACAACGAACAACAGCACAACTAGTTTTGGGTTAGTGCAACTTTGTTAGGTAAAAATGATAACCTAGTGTGTCAGTTTGAATAAGAATGACCCCCACAGGCTCCAATATTTGCATGTTTGATCCCCAGCTAAAGAACTGTTTGGGAGATTAGGAGGTGTGGACATTTTGGAGTAGGTATGTCACTAGAAGTGGGCTTTGAGATTTCAAATGCCCATGCCACCAGTCCCAGTTCTCCCCACCCCCAACCCCACCTCTGCCCCTGGCTGCCTGCCTGCCTACAGATCAGAATGCAACTCTCAGACACTTTTCCAGTACATGCCACCAGGCGCCGCAAGCCACAAGTCGCCAGGCACAGCAAGTCGCCTTCCCAAGACTAGTCAAACAGCGGCAGAACCCAGGCAGCTGGCAGTAATGTTATGAACTTCCATGTAAACTTCACAAAAGCTTAAAAAGGGATTTTAGTAGCAAAAGAACAGAGACAAGCAGAGACTCAGTTCCTTTAAGAGAGGTTTTCTGACTCAGCCTAAGAGGAAAAAACCACACGGCTTCTTTTTTAGGAGGCCTGGCTAGCTCAGTCAGTAAAGCATGAGACTACTGACGTGGGTTCGTGCCCCACACAGCTGGCAGTGGCAGTGACCACATCTCCAAGCAAGCAGCCTGTTCCTTGGTGGCAGTACAGACCAAGGCAGTGACCGCATAGCTCTCAGAGCTAGTGGTAAATGTACCTCCGCCATCTTGGAAGTCAGCAGCTAAGAAAGACGCCACTTTATTTTGGTGGTGGTGTTTAACAGTTAAAAGACTGGTGGCCAGAAAAAGGTAAAGATTTACAGTAAAGACAGATCCAGATAAAGAAAAACCTCTAAAGGTTTATAATGTACTTAGAAATATATGTAGGCTTGTGAGAGAAAAAGAGGAAGAAAAAATAGAGTAGCTGGGTGGTGGTGGCGCATGCCTTTAATCCTAGCATTTGGGGAGCCAGAGGCAGGCAGATCTCTGTGACTTCAAAGCCGGGTGTTGGTGGCACACGCCTTTAATCCCAGCACTCCAAAAGCTGAGGCAGGCAGATTTCCACAGAGAAACCCTGTCTCAGGAAAAAAGAAACAAAAGGAAGTAAAAAATAGAATAACAAGAAAAGCCATGTAAAGATGGAAAATGCACGAAGAGTCTGTATACTATATGCTACATTGTTGTCTTTAAATTGTTTGATTGCGGAGGAAAGAGTTACAGCTGCTAAAATACATATGATTATAAATGCTGCTGAATTAATCCAACTTATACATTTTAACAATGCTTTGACTTCAAAATTTAAGTCTAAGGACAGGCTACTTGGGCAAAAGTTTTTGCTTTTGTTTCCACAGAAAATGAAAAGCTGTGGATTCCTTCCAGACTAATATGGTTTGATCAAGCAAGACCCCCTGAAGCAGTGACCCAACTGATCCTACATCCAAAACAGCTGAGATGATGCAGTCATAGACCACTACAGCCAGGATTTCTGGTTTTCTCAGGATCCCCATGACATCACCCCTAACCAGCAGGAAGCAGTATGGATTGAACGACGCCCAAATTCCCAAATATTGTTTATAAATGTTTGTTTTCATTTAAGTGGGATTAGTTATAAATGGTAATGATCGCAGTCAATCTCTTTTTAAAAGAAAAAAAGGGGAATAGGACATAGGAATGAATACTTTGCAATGGTATGGATTTTCATTTATTGACAACTTTAAGATCAATTTTGTGATATGTACATGTCTCCTCTTGTTTAGGTATTGTGTTTATACAGATCTTTTAAAATGTAATTCATAATTAAAAACAGATTATATTGTCACCTATAATAGTCAAAACTTACAGTTAGGTTAGTTAGGTTTTCTAGATATACAAAGATGTATTTGAGATAGATATTCTTCAAACTTTTCAAATACCTACAGAATGTATGGCATTTAAATGGTTTAGAGTTTTCATGACAGTGAGACACAACTGCTCCTGGCACACCAATTATGTCAGAAAGGAGGATGGGCATCGAAGAAATTCGTTATGGAGTTTGCCTTCAACATGGCAAGATTAGCCATGTGGGCAAGAAACTGCTCTTGCCTGGACTGTTTGTTGCTGTATAAACTGGACATGCAGAGTCCTGAAGGGTTCCTGC